CCAGGCGCCGCGCGGCCCGGGACCCGCGGGAGGGCCGCCGCCGTGCGCCGGGCCCTCGGTCACGCTCGCGCCGCTCGCTCCGTGCTCCTGCAGCGGTGGCGGCGGCAGCGAAAAGACACTCTCGGCGGCGACAGGGCGCGGGGGAAGGAGGGGGCGCCGCCGCCTCCGCTCCAATGAGGGGCGGGGAGGGAGCGGGGCGGGGAGGAAGCGCGGCCTCCCTCGCCGGGGCCGGGACGTCAGTGCGCACGCGCGGCCGATTTCAAATCCTCACTAGACACCGCCGCCTTGGTTACCGCGCCTGCGCAGTGGGGCGCTCCCCCGGAGGGCACCGCGTCGGAAGGAGACGCGACTGGGAGGGGCTGAAGGGGCGGCGGCGGCGGCGTGGGTCCTTCTAGACTAGACTTGGCTGCGGTGGGGCGAGAAAGAAGTGCGGGGACCGCTGCGCCGCCGCCTTCGCCCCGGCTTCCTCCGCTGGCCCCACCTCCTGCCGCCGGGAGCAGGCCGAGGCGTGGAGACATGCGCGCTGGGACCGGGGTCCGCGGCAGCCGCCCGGTCGCGCTGCGCGTGCGCAAAGATGAGGCGGCGCCGCCGCCGCCGCCGCCGCCGCCGCCGCCGCCCTTGCGGCGGGGTGGAAGTTTCCGCACCGCCGGGCGGGGTCTGGGATCCCGCCCTGGGCCTGGCCCGGGGGCCGCCCGCTCGCGCTACGTGTGGGCCGGGCCAGCACGGACTGCGGTCCGGCCGCTTTCCCAGGAAAAGGACAAAAGTGCCCCAAGCTCCCTGCTGTCCAACCTCTGGGGCCCGTGTGCAGCCGGTCGCGCTGCGGTCACTCGTGCCCGCGCCCCCCCACGTGCTCGCCGGCGTCCTCCCGGAGGAGCGGGTCACTCACCCGCTGCCGGGGCGGCGCTGCCGGCTAAGCCACTGCCCCGGACGGAGCAGGACCCTCCTTGGTGGGTCTTCTTACAGGCATTTTTGTTACCTTTTTTAAAGTGATTCCTATGTATAGAATGAGGTTAAAACTTTACAGTTAGCTCACTGGCGCGACTCACCGAGGCCGACTCAGCAATGCTGCCCATCAGAGCAGTGGCCCACGTGCTTGGGTGTCTGGGCTGGCGGCTGGCACAAGGTTGGCAGGATTCCATAGCGATCCTGTCCACTGGGCGAGTCCCCTGGTGTCCAGAGAATGCCCCAAGCCCGGATTGACAATGGTGTTGTTAGGACTATGCCGCTAACCACACATTCTATGAAGTCCAGAGCAAACGCCAGAGTGTCGTTATATAAACCTGCGTGTGCCCCATGAGCCTAGCCAGGGTGATGGACACCGTGGCCCCTCCAGTGCCAGGCCCCAGAGGGAGCCCCCGCCTGCCCTGGTCCCTGCCCAGCGGATGCACGCCCTGGCCAGGCAACTTAAGGAAGCTCAGCGCTTGGGCCAGCGTTCATTTTAAACATTGAAACAAACCCTTTCAATGTGCTCTCCGGCTTCACTGTATCACGGGTGAGTACCCGTTACTAAGCGCTTGACACTTCAAGACATTGTAACAACGATCCGTGCTTTTTGGCAGATGGTGATAAAACTACAAATGACTGTTTTGGTTCAGGCGTTTTGTACTGTACATGTGGTTATTAGAGCAATTATTAGAACGTGTGCATTAAATAAACTGGAGAAAAATCACACACAAACCAGTCAAACAGTGGTTACTCTGGATCTTCCAGTGCCTAGGGCCAAAATCCCTGGGGTCATCCCAACCTCCCCTCTCCATAACCAACAGAAATATCCAAAACCCAACAGCCACCCCACACTCCCACCTTCTCACCTACAGCCCTTTCAAGCCACCACTATTTCTAGCATGTTTTAAAACAGTGCCTCCTAGCTGGTTTCCCACATTCCGTTCTTGCTCTCTTCGGCATTTTCTCCACAGAGGGGCTTGTGAGTGATACTTAAAAAAAAAAAAAAGTCAGATTATGTCATTCTTCTGCTCGAAACTCTCCAGTGGCTTCCTTTCTCAACCTCAGGCTTAATACGACCTGCAAGTCCCTACACTGTCTGGTCCTTCTCCCTTTTTCTCCCACTTCATCTTCCAACTCATCCCCTAACCCAGCCTGCCCCAGCCAGAAGCACAGCAGGCACAGATGGGCCTCAGGGCCTTTGCACTTGCTGTTCTAGCTGCTTGGATGCTCCTCCCCCACCTACCCACACAGGTGACACCTTACCCACCCTCACACATTAGTAAGGATGTTATTCTGTCTAAACTACAAACTTAACCCTCGACACTTCCCACTTCCATTCCCTGCTTTATTGTTCTCTTAGCATTCATCTCTGTCGGTTTCCTAGGACCACAAACTGGGTGGCTTATAACAGCAGAAATGTATTCTCTTTCTTTCTCTAGAGCCTTAATGCCTGAAATCAAGGTGTTGGCAGGGCCATGCTCTCTCTCCGCGGTCTCTAGGGGAGGATCTGCTCCATGGCTTTCTCTTAGCTTCTGCTGTTTTCCTTGGCCTTCTTTGGCCTGTAGGTGCCTCACCCCATTCTTTGCCTCCATCATTGCATGGAGCTTTCCCCATGTCTGTGTCTCCTCTTCTTGTCATACTGCATTAGGGTTCACCCTAATGGCCTCGTGTTCCCTTGATGACATCTGCCGAGACCCTATTTCCAAATAAGGCTAACATTCTATTGATATCCTGGGTTAAGACTTGAAATTCATCCGGTGGGAGGGGACGGGGAGCACAATTCAATCCGCTGTGCCATCTCATGAATTGTGTTTACCTTGCTTATCATCTGTGTCCTCTCACCCCATTAGAATCTAAGTTCTACAAGGAGGGGGCTTTTTATCTGTACTTTTCCCTGCTGTGTGCGAGCTTGAAGCCTGTGGCTGGCACACGGGAGGTCCTGGATGGACATTGGTGAAGTGACCAACAGTCGGTTGACCAACTCAATGGGAATGAAAGCCTTGCCTGGCTTCCAGGATCTATCCACAGATTGCTATTTACTTCTTTCCAACATTTTAAGTTTGTTTTTCCCTATGGCCTCCTGCTCTATCTTTGCAGCTTGTCTCCAGGTAATCCCTCTAACTTGATTCATCAGCCATAGCCAACTGCTTATAATTAGATCCAGGGTTTCATTATGTATGTATTTGATCCTAGGTTTTTATGTAAATTGAAGCAATATGTTTCTTTCTGCAAAAAACGAATTAATACTAAGTCAAATGTAGCTCCTGTTGCAGTCCCTGTGACTCTGGGCAGAGGAGGTCTTTCTCACTGCTTATCAGTTTTCACAGATAAGCCCAGCTTTTTCCTTCTGTGGCCAAAACCAGCTCTTCTCTCTCTCTCTCATGATGTTAGAGGAGGGGTAATATTAGAGATTATACTACGGTTTTAGCGATTCATTCTCATGAACAAACAGTTTCCGAAGCTTTGACTACCACGGACTTCCTGGTCCAGAATCAGATATGCTGGTTAAAAGGCAGATAGCTAGGGCTAACCCGATCTGAAGCTTACGCAGAGTGAGGTCCAGGAATCTGTATCTTAAGTAAATTCCCTGGGCAATTTCAAGCACAGTAAAGCTTGAAAATTTTTGCCTAATTCAGTGTTCCCAAACTCAATTGCTCACAGGAACTGAATAGGTTATGTAAGTAACTGAAAAAAATCAGGGTGTGTGTGCATTAGTCAGCTACTGCGGGCTAACAAACCACTCCCAGACACAGAGGCTCAAAGTGTTTAGTATTGCTCACAAGTCTGCAGACTAACTGTGTGGTTCTGCTGAGCTGTGTCAGACACAGCGGATCGTGGCTTACAGAGATCACTTCTAGGCTCCAGTCAGCTAGCAGGTGAGCTGAGGCTGGGTGGTCTAGAGTTGGGCCACACTCTCGTGGCGGGCAGTTGGCTGGCTGGCAGCTGGGACACCAGGGTTGACTGGCCCATGTGTTTCTCATTATCCAGCAGGCTAGCCCCAGCTTGTTCTCAGGGCGGCTGAACAGGGTTTCAAGAAAGCGAGCAGACATGCCTGAAGTAAGAACTGGCACGCCTTCATTTCCTCACCATTCTGTGAGCCCAAGTAAGTGATGAGGCACTGATAAGATTCAAGAGGTGGGGAAATAGCCCCCACCTCCTGATGGAAGAAGCCGC